GAGGAGGAGGAGGGGGGAGGACGGGTTGGGCGTGCCTTTGGCCGAATTCGCGCGCCCTTTGGGCTGCTCGGGCGCGGTCTCGCACCGGTGATCCGGGGCCTGGCCGCCCACGCCAGGGCGCCGGGCGCGGGGGGGGACGGCGCGCGCCCGCGGGAGGCGCGAAGCGGGTGGCTGCCAAAGGGGCCCTTTTCTTCCGCATCCGCCTCCTCCTCCGTCTCCTCCTCAACTTCCTCCTCTGCCTCCTCCTCCTCCTCCTCCTCCTCCTCCTCCTCCTCTCCTCCTCCTCCTCCTCCTTCCCTTCTCCTCCTCCTCCTCCTCCCCTCCTCCTCCTCCTCCTCTGCCTCCTCCTCCTCCCTCCTCCTCCTCCTCCTCCTCCTCCTCCGCCTGCGCCTCCTCGTCCTTTTCCTCCTCCTCCGCCTCCTCCTCCTACGCCTCCTCCTCTTCCTCCTCCTCCTCCTTACCTTCCTCATCTTCCGCCTCCTCCTGCTCATGCTCCTCCTTCTTCTCTTTCTGGTGACTGTCTGACTTTCGGCCTCTGATCTGGAGCGGAAGAAGGACCTAAACATACATGAGCCCCTTTTCGTTTCGAGGGCACTCATTGCGAAGGCGTTCGTATCAAGCGGCCGGTCTCGAGGATTGGGGGACCGTGTTCATGCACGTGGGTGTGCGCGTACGTCCTTTGTGGGCTACCTTTCTGTGTTCGCCGATCGCGGTCATACCCCCCAGGGCCGGTTGGCCCTGGGAGGATGGGGGTGAGTTTGCATTGCAACAGAAGGGTCTGCGACCGTAGAGAGGACCCCCGAGGGTGGGGTAGCCAAGACCCCCTACACCTCAGGTGGGAGGGGGGAGGAGGAGGAGGAGGAGGAGGAGGAGGAGGAGGAGGAGGAGGAGGAGGAGCGACAATACGGTGGGGACGACCCTGGTCTCAACCATATGCAGTTGTGGGTACCGTAATTGTGAATATCTGCTTCGGTGAAGCTCCCTATGGGCCACGAAGCGCTGCACTGGGTGCGGGTTAACGCTGTACTGTGTGGGTGGTGTGCCGAATTAGGTTTCCGGGACGCATGCGGACGGTCCCACTGGAGGCTTCGATGGAGCCCCCTATGGGGCCACGAAGCGCTGCATTGCGCGGGTGAGAATGCCAAATTACATTTCCCGGACGCATACGGACGGTGGCACTGGGGCCTTCGGTGGAGCTCCCTATGGGGCCACGAAGCGCTGTACTGGGTGTGCGGGACGCATGCGGACGGTAGCGCTGGGACCTTCGGTGGGGCTCCCTATGGGGCCACGAAGCGCTGTACTGGGCGTGCGGGATGCATGCGGACGGTCCCACTGGGACCTTCGGTGGGGCTCCCTATGGGGCCACGAAGCGCTGTACTGGGTGGGTGAAACGCAGGGAGGACGGGGAGGAGGGCCACGAAACGCTGCACTGGGTGTGCGGGACGCATGCGGACGGTAGCACTGGGACCTTCGGTGGAGCTCCCTATGGGGCCACGAAGCGTTGTACTGGGTGTGCGGGACACATGCGGACTGGGACCTTCGGTGGGGCTCCCTATGGGGCCACGAAGCGCTGTACTGGGCGTGCGGGACGCATGCGGACGGTAGCACTGGGACTGTCGGTGGGGCTCCCTATGGGGCCACGAAGCGCTGTACTGGGTGGGTGAAGCGCAGGGAGGAGGGGGAGGAGGGCCACGAAACGCTGTACTGGGTGTGCGGGACGCATGCGGACGGTAGCACTGGGACCGTAGGTGGGGCTCCCTAGTATGGGGCCACGAAACCTTGGACTGGGTGGATGAAACGCAGAGACAGGGGAGGAGGGAGGAGGAGGGAGGAGTGGGAGGAGGAGAAGGAGGGGGAGGAGGAGGAGAGGAGAACGCGGGGCGACGTCTCCTCAAAACGGGGACCCAACACCACAGGATGGTTGGTGGAAGGAGGAGGGACGAGGAGGGGGAAGAGGAGGAGAAGAACGCGGGGACCGTCTCTTCAAAACGAGGACCCAACACCACAGGATGGTTGGGAAAAATGGTAAGGCGTTGAGGCTGAGAGGCAACGAGGGAGGCATACAGTCATCCCGCATGGTAAGGATGGGCAAACTTCCCAAGGGTACCCTTGCATCATTGACTCGTCGGTCCATCCTTGGCAACTTTCGATGGCCGCGCCAAGCTCGAAAAGCTTTGAAATGGCCTCTCAAGGCCCTCGCATTCTTATCGCACTTTCTTACGATACGGAGCGACTGTGGTGCGGGTGATGGGAGAGAGCGGGTGCAGTTGCCAGCGGCAGTATTGTCGCTGGTGGACCGTTAATTGGTTGGCCGTCAGCGATGGCGTTCTCGGTGAACGTTGCCAGGCTTGAAAGAGCTGTCAGCGATGGCCCCGGCCAGCCTAGTGACCTCCTCCTTTCCCTCCTAGAGTCCTCCCAGGCTCAATGCCTGCCCAACCCACTAGTGGGTGAGAAAAGGGAGCACAGCGAGAGAGAGAGAGAGAGTGGCCAGCATAGACGATCTGGTGAAACGAACGCTCTGGCAGGGCTTGCCTGTGACGTTCAGTTGCGAGCCTGTGACGCTCGCTCGCGAAGATGTAGGTGGCTCTCGTTAGATCATACGCCTCATCAGCCTTCAGCTGACTACGTTACTCCTCCCCCTGATCGGAAGAAGTGCAGGGCGGATGCTCGACAGAAAAAAGTAGGGTGGAATCGACATCTACAATCCCCAGCACTGGCTGCTGCCCAGAGTAGATTGGGGGAGTTCGAAGAGGAAGGTGAGGGAGGGCCCTGATCGGAAGAAGTGCAAGGCAGATGTTCGACATCAGAAGCGGGGTGGACCCCACTCTTGAGATCCCCAGCACTGACTGTTGCCCAGAGTACATTGTGGGGGAGAGAGACGAGGAAGATGTAGCAGGGGATGGCTCCGGCAGGACGGAGTGTGCAGTGGCGATGCGACTGAGTCTCTTGTCGCATCATTCGCTGGGCGCGTCGCGCAGCAAGGCTGTGGCCGACTATTATGGTCCAGAGCTCGTCGCCAATCCCCCCTCCCTGCCTACCCCAGCCCCGAGTCCCGATCCCTATCAGACAGTGGCGCGGGTGAGTGAAGGGGGTGAGGGGGACCCCCCCGGGGGACGGCCGCGGAGACGGCGGAGCCCGGGGGGTGGGGGGGAGGGAGAGAGGATGGTCATGAGCGGGGGGCAGGGGAGGGGGTGAGGGTGACGGCAGTTGCGGAGGCAGGCGATTGTGTGACCTTGGCTTGCGCTGGCGGTGGAAAGTCGCATCCGAAGTGGGAAAACAGCACGGCATGTCAGGCAAAGTTTTCACACAACCGAGCTCGGAGGAACGCCAATTGGGACAAGGGGGATGAGACAGAGAATTGTGGGGTACGGCACGTTGGGCCCAGAAGTCCCTGACGGCGTCGATGCCATTGCCACCGAACACGCCACTGCGCGACAGCGCCATGGCTGTTGCCACGTTACCATCACCTCCTCCTTGCGCTGGACGCGCACGGTGAGGTACAGGCAGCTCCGGGCGGCCAGGCGCGGGCACGGCCTGCCAGGGGCCCTGTGGTTAGGCACAGACCTTCTGTTGCAGACGGTGCGTCCGTGGAAAGACGCGAGAGCAAACTGAAGGGGAGGGTTAAGTTGGGCACGTCGCTCTGCAGGAGGAATATTGAAACAGTATTTTACAAGATAGTCTGGGGACGATGTTTGGATCAGTTTTCCACATTTTGGTGTACTTGTTGTGTCCGTTTTGTTTTCCCTCCAGAATCCGCCTGTAGGAGGACATGCCCGACCCCATGGGAGGGGGAAAGACGAAACGCTGCGCGAGGGCAAAGGGCGAGGATTTGATGGGGGGGGGCAGAACAAGGGAGGCGCGCGAGGGCAAAGGGCCAGAGGCTTGTGTCGCCGGGCCGGGCGCTGGACCCTGCCCTCGGCGAGAGTCTCGGTGCACTGCCTGCCTCCTTCGCGAAGCGCCCCAGGAGCAGCTCCTCCCCCGGATCCGCAGGAGTGCAGGGCGGATGCTCGGCACGCGCTGGCCGTCCAGACCGTTACGGCGTGTGCCCAGCGAGGTGTCGTCTGCGGTTTCACATTCGCCCGGCCGCGCTGGTCATCTGCAGTGGTCCGCTCCCTCCTCCCCAACACAGCGGGGTGGGCCCCACTTCTGTAACCCGCGGTGACGGCTGCTGCGGCGCGGCAGAGCGCGGGCGGCGAGACCGAGGATGAGGTCTGAAGAGAGGTGCTAGTGCGGGCCGCGCCTCTCAAGGAGTATCCGCCACAGTCACGCTGCACAGTCAAGCCGCGTAGTAAGGATGGGCCACCTTCCCAAATGTACCCCTGCAGCCTTGCCTCCTCGGTCCATCCCTGGCCACGTCTGTTGGCCGCGCCCCGCTCGAGAAGCTTTGACATGGACGTGCGAGACCCTTGCACCCTTATCGCACATTCTCATGATACGGGCCGGCTGTATCGCCCGTTCCTCAGCTCTCGGCCATGCATCTGATCCGCGACCCTGCAGGCAGACTCAGCCCCGTTGTAGGTGACCCAGTCGCCGACGATTCGGGTGACGACGATCGGGCCGAAGAGTGAGAACGTGGTTTTTGGACGCTGGACACATCCAGGTGTTTGCTTCACTTGACGTAGACCGTTGGCGGACTCGGCGCTTCTACCTCAACCTTCTTGGCCGCTGGCGTCATGGCCAGTGGGCCAGAGAGCGGGTCGCCCGGCGCCCGCTCTGCGGTCTCGGCGTCAGGGTCGGTCGTGGCCCTTGGCTCGCCCGCCGCCTTGGGCCGGGGGGCCGCCGTCGCCGCACCGCTCGCCACGCCAGCCTGGCAGGTGCACCACCGCGGCGTCTTCCTCGTCCTTCTCCGCCTGCACGGTGTCCTCGTCCGCGCCCCGCTCCTCGTAGGCCGCGTCGACGGGGATGGCGAGCGGCGGGAGGTGGAGAACGCCGAGGTCGTCGTAGCCGTGGGTGCTGCCGTTTGCGCCGCCACAGCCAGAAGCGCTCTGTAGCGGTAATTGGTAGGCCGGTGTCCGCTACAATTTGAGCTACGTCTACGCTGGGTTCTCGTTCGCCTGACTTGAGAGATGACTGACACCAAGTGGAAGCGACTTTGTAGAAGAAAACATTTCGTCTCAGCAATCCCTGAAGTGTCCGGTGACCGTGAAGTGGTGCCTCACCCGTGCGGCCGCCGCCTCGGTGGCAAGCTGACGCCGCCGCCTCGCGGCGCCACGGGCTGCGGTGGGGCCGACCGCTGCGACCTCCCATGCGTGCCCGGAGGCGCAGGGCCGCCCAAACGGTGGGCAGACCTCGTGTTCTGGCTCGCCTTCGCGGGCTCCGCTGCAGCCATGGCGCAAGGCTGCACGGCGCTGCGCATGGGTCCCCGAGCGGCAGCGGCGATCCTGGAGCCAAATTGGCTGCGGACTTCCTCCTCCTCCTCCGCCTCCTCCTCCCCCTCTTCCTCCTCCTCTCCTCCTCCTCCTCCTCCTCCTCCTCCTCCTCCTCCTCAGTGAGACTGCAGACGAGCTGGTCGAGCAGACGGCCAAGCGCATCCAGTTGCAGGTGAGGGAGGTTGAGGCTGTTCTGATCTCTGAGGCTCTGACGCGTGCCGTTCGAATTCGGTCGTGTGAAGGTTCCCTCTCCAGGTTTTCGGAGGTCCCTGGAGGCGATCCCGTTCAGCATCCTCGAGTCAGGAATAAAGCCAGAGCCGAGAAGGCTGTTCCCCCCACTCCTCCTCCTCCTCGGTCCTTCAGCCGTCGCCCCAAGCTAGACAAGCAGCTGCGCGCATGCGCGCATAGCACGGATCCTGTAGGCGAGGTCTCCGAATGTCGTTTGTTTTGTAGCACCTGTTGTTGTGGCCCACGGTAAGATCCCGTCTCAGGAGTCGTTGTCCTGTCCTTGCCAGCCAGGCCGCGGTGCCCCGAGCGGGGCACGAGGGGGCCAGGCAATTGCATATTGTTTACACAGGTGCCAGGCATGTCGATCCATCACATGATATGGTCCTCCCTGCCAAGGGTAACATAGATATGTTTGAAGTGTGGGCGTCGTGCCACACGCAGTGGGAGGAGGAGGAGTTAGAGAACAGAGAGAGAGAAGCAGATAAAACAAAAGAGAAGCGCATTAGGCAGTGTGCGGTGCGCATCAAGAAGCCATCTGCTTTTCGTCGGGGCCTCCTGTTTCTTGTTGTTGCTCCGCGGGCTGCGCGGTGACTTCCCGCAGCCGCTGAAGAAGCTGCTGCGCTCAGGGTGCTCCGGGTTTCCCTTCAGGCGCACCTCGCGCGCGGTTTCTGGCGGCCGCGCCCACACTGCATGCGAGGGGAATCTGAGGAATGTTTTCTCATTGTTGTTACGACTGTACCATTACGACCACCTCCACTACAGTGGAGACTCATGCCAAGAAACACCCTGCTCGCCTCCAGGGTGCCCTGAGTTTCTTGGGTGTCGATGGTTTTGCGGTGGAAATCCCACAACAAATAGCAATGGGCGTCTTGGGATCCGAGTGTTGGGTGTCTTGTGAAGGTTTTTGTGGACTGGCCACTGTACTATCGCTACTATGACGCTGCTTCTCCTGTTGTTGCTTATGTTGCTAATGCCACGACAAGCACTGCCACTCCTCGTCCTAATCCCCATCCCCCTCATGTTTTCCAAATGGCCGTCCTTCTCCGCCTGCCCCTTTTCCTCGCCCTCACCCCTTCCTCCGCCTCCCGTTCCTCCTCGTCCTTCTCCCCCCCTCACCTAAATTCCCGCTTCTCTTTCACATGCTGCCTGCACGACACGCATCCGTGCCAATTCCGTGCAAGAGGAAGTGGAGTAAGAGGAGGAGGAGGGGGAGGGGAAGGGCGAGGAGGAGGAGGAGGCCGAGGAGGAGGAGGAGGACGACGACGAAGAAGAAGAGAAGGAGGGGTGAGAAGAGTGAGGTGGGGGGAGGAGGCACGGAGCCGACGGGGAGGCGGCAGGGATCATAACAGGAGGGTGAGAACGGAGCTCGCCATGCTTCCCCACTCCGATAGTTCCCGGCCCCTCAAGTTCCCGGACAGGTCCTCGGGGCTGCTTTTGAGGTCGGTGTGATGTTATTGCGCACGTGGGAGAGATTGCCAGAAGATACCAGGGCATCTTGCGCAGTCGAAAAGTCCCAAACCCAAGGCCCAGAGACCGATTCGATTCTCTTGCCCTCTTGCTCTGAGCGTGGGCACAATCTGTCTCCTTTCTTCGTTTCCCGGCAGAGGCTGTCACTGTCCCCGCAATCGCCCAGACATCCGCATCCGCGACTTGTTCACAACGCCTCTCTTCAGAGGTCTGGACCCCTTCCTGGGGATGATCTTTCCATCCTGAGTCGTTTTTTGAAGATCCCGCGGCCCGGCATGCGCCCCCAGAAAATGGCAACGGCTCAAATTTGCCCGTCGCATGCCTATGTCGGCGGCGAGCGAGGGGGGTAAATGAGAAGGGGAAAGCCTTCACAGAAGGCGGCGGAGCTTCTCGGCAGCCCTCCGGCTTTCGGAGAGGTTTTCAATGTCTTCGGGGAAGGCTCGGAAACTTCTCAGAAGGCCCGAGGCCTTCCTAGGGGAACAAAAAGTGGCATAAACATAATAACTTGGAGGTCCGCGCGGATTTCTCGGATCGGCGCTTGACCCCCCTCCCTGGCGCGCGGAGCGCGCCAGGGGCGGCGCCGGAGGCGCCGCCGGGGGGCCCCAGCGCGGATCCGAGAAATCCGCGCGGACCTCCGAGTTTTCATGTTTCTGCCACTTTTTGTTCCCTTACTTCCCAACCCTCTGAGAAGGCCGCCCATGTTGCGCGACACGAGAAGGTCAGGGCGTCCTTGGCGCTTCGGGCCATCTCTTCTGCGTTTGGGCGCTTTAATTCGGGCCGGGCGAAAGGGGGGGATTGGGAAAGGGGGGTTACGAAATTTGCTGCATGCAGCTGATTTCGGCCTCACCGAGGGGCCCATTCCTCGATACATACTCGCCTCCGGCGCCGGGAGGCGCCGGGAAAATCAGCTACGTGAGCTGATTCTCAAACCCCCCCTTTGCTATCCCCCCCTTTCGCCCGACCCGAGAGAAGGTCAGGGCGTCCTTGGCGCTTCGGGCCATCTCTTCTGCGTTTGGGCGCTCTCATGCCAGGCCCTCTGGGCGGCGCCGTCTCCGTCGTCACCACGCCTGCACGGGAGCCGCACCTCCGCGCTGCCCGGACTCACCACGCACCAAACCACCCCAAACCCAACCCGAAGGCCCAAGTGTGTCCTCGATGTTCGGGTATGGGAGGGGTCGGAGGACATCGAGAAATACCTGTGGAGCCCGTGCCCCCCCCCCCCCAACCCGAAACTTGGGTCTTCGGGTCAGGTTGGGGTGCTCTCGGTAATTAGGTCGTCAGACATGTTCGCGTCGCGGATAGATCACGACGGAAGGTTGTTTGATGCTGTTGTCGCTTATGTGGACCTTCAGTGGGCACCCTGGGCCTTCCTAAGCACGAATCGGGATGCAAAGCCAGACGCAGTGAGAACCACGTTCTGAAAAGTCGCGTCGGATGTTCGGAATGGGAGGACATGCAGAAGGCGTACGAGGCGTTCGTGATCGAGACCAACGCCTCGATCGAGGCATCCTCCTCCTCCTCCTCCTTCTCCTCCTCGTCGCCAGCCCCTAAGTACCTTTACCTTCTAAACTCCTCCTCCTCCTCCTTCTCCTGCTGCTCCTCCTCCTCCTACACCCTGCGCAGCTTCGCGGCTCAAGAGTGGCTGGGAACGGGTGGAGCGATCAAGGCGGGGCTCCCCCCCTTCGCCAGACATCCAGGGCGGCAGTCGCGACGTGCCATCTCGCTCTGCCTCAGGCTTTCGGGCCCGCGCGGATCGAGCGAGTGCTTTGGTCGTTGTTTCAACGACGCCGTAGACTTTGCGCGAGACACGTCACACGTCGCAGTATAATGACGTCCGATCCGCCCGAAGCCGTCTTTGTGCGGGATCCCGCAGCACAAATCGACATCTTAGGGTCCTGGAGCCCGAGGCCTGGCCAGACAGCCCGCGCAGTAGGCACATCGAGCAAGAAACCGATCTACCCGCAAGTGCCCCACGGAGACCCCTCTTTCCCCGACGGCCCTGGAGGGCCCCAATACAGATCTGGGGCGCCTAAGGAAGTTCAAACATGGGAGGGGCAAATGCTTCAACTGCAGCCACATGGGCGCGTTTGCGACTTGCTGCTGCTGTTGCACCAGTACTGTCCCAAGCCGCCCCCGAACTCGTAGGAAAGCGCCAAACCTCCCTTGATTGGAGAGGACGCTGCCTGACTGCATTTGAGATCCGCGCGTGGATCTTTTGCAGCATGCCCTCTTTTCGCATGCATCTGCTGCGCCCAAGCATCCGACTTCTCAAAGGTCTGGACCCCTTCCTCTAGGGAACGGCTCCCCATCCCGAGCGGGGCCCGGCAAAAGCCCCTCAGAGGCTGAGAATTGCCAAAAAACTGTCCGTCGCGACTTCTGCACAGCGCGAGGTGAACAGGTTTTCGGGCCATAGCGCTGGTCTCCGGCCGCCTTTCGGGACGGTTCGGGTAGCCCTGGAACGCTCTCGGCAAGGCGCAGCCGCTGCCAAGCGCCCCGAGGCTGGCAAGCCTCTCAGGAACCCCTGGAACCGCCCGAGGACTCCTTGGACCTCGAGCGCCCGCGCAGTCCTCGAGCCTCTCTCTGTGGCCCTCCTCCCTCGGCGCCCGCCACGGGAGGGGCTCGCGAGCAGGCCGAGCGGGGGAGCGTGGGCAGGCAGGGCGGGGGGGCGGCGCGCGGGGGGGGGCGGGCCTGCCCGGGGAGCAGACCCCGGCGGACTCACCGCGCCGAGCGGGGAGGGCCCCCTCTCGGGGACTGCCCCCGTGGCTCTCGCCATGGAAGACAGTATCTCCTCCTCCTCCTTCTCCTCCTCCTCCTGCTCCTCCTCCACCTCCTCCTCCACCTCCTCCACCTCCTCCTCCCCCTCCTCCTCGTCCTCCTCCTCCTCCTTCTCCTCCTCCTCCTCCTCCTCCTCCTCCTACCCCCTCCTCCTGCTTTTTTGAACGGACGTCCGAGCGATGGCAGGCCTGTGGCTCTCGCCGTGGAAGTCAGGACTTGGGGGGTCCCAGCACGGTGCGGAGGCCACGCCGTCGGGTCAGTCGGTGGGGGCTCGGGGTGGCCGCACGGTGCTGGGACTCGGGCTGGTCTCCGAGGCTGTCTCGGGCCACGAGGGCCGCCAGGGTCCCAAAGCCGTGCGGTGACGGACAGTGCGGTGAAGTGAGGTCTTTGGGAGCTGCGAGGCCACCGCACGGTCTCGCGACCCCACGAAGTCTTGCGGCACGCGCCGCCTGGCGCGCCGGGTCCGCTGCCACCTGCGCCTGCCACGGAGGGCGGGGTCCGCGGCCACGGGCATCGACCCGTGAGCCAGCTCCGCGAACGCCGGGGTCGCGATGGGGCTGGGACTCCTGCAAGTTCCGTGGAGCCAAAGTGGCCTAGGCCAAAATGGCTGCGGGAGGGAGGAGGCAGTGGAGCAGGGGGTGGAGGAGGAGAAGGGGTGGGGGAGAGGAGGGAGGAGGAGCAGTAGGAGGAGGATCAGGAGGAGGAGGAGGAGGAGGAGGAGGAGGATTTGGGGGAGACAGGAAGAGAGGGAGAGGGGGGTGAGGGAGGAGGAACAGGGCGGGGAAGGGGAAGGATGAGGCGGAGGAGGAGGAGGAGGATGAGGAGGAGGAGTTGTAGGAGTTGGAGCTGGAGATGGCAGAGCTCCAAGGAGGAATCCCACCCCTCTGGCATGAGCGATGCCTGCCCCTGGCAGGCGAAGACCAAGGCGATCGTCAACAAGTCCGAGGAGAAGGCGAAGGCCGAGGAGCAGCTGGTCGCGGCGCAGGACGCTCGGCAGACGAGATGACGAGGATGCGAAGGATGCTGAGGAGGAGGAGGAGGAGGAGGAGGAGGAGGAGACAGTGGAGGAGGGGGTGGGGTACCCCCTGGAGGAGGAGGAGGAGGAGGAGGAGGAGGAGGAGGAGGAGGAGGAGAAGGAGCAGGAGGATCAGGAGGAACGACGACATTGTATAACATTCCGTAGGGTTGAATGGATTGGAGCGGCGTCGGAGAAGCATGGGCATGGTAGAGGGGGAGCTCCCTCCCCTCCCCCTCTTCCTCCACCGGGAACTCCCGCGACACAGGCAGACCTGGACTCCGTGACGACGGAATTGGGTGAGCTGGCCGACTACAACGCGCAGCTGCACGCGAGCTGCGACTTCACGCTCAAGAACTTCGCCCTGCGACAGGAGGGCCGCGGCGGCGGTGGGCCAGCCCGTCCGCGGCAGCCGAACGGGAAGGGGAATCTTTGGAGGAGTTGGGGTTTGACGGACTACGGGGGAATAGCGCCAAGGAGCCGGGAGCCGGCAGCGACGAGAGGATTCCCGCCACCCCCAGGATCCACAAGCAAGTTTGTTACGAGGCCGCCTGCACAGCGACCGCTACGCGCGCTGTTTCGGGGATGCCCTTCTGGGGACGAGGTTCCAGCAGAGAGACTAGCAGACTTTGCGTTGCGTGTTTGGGCATCTCGGTGCGCCGTCGTCGCCACAGACGGACTCCTTTTGAAATCGCAGCCAGAACGCTCCCCAGGAGAGAGGTCTGGTTTGGGGAGTGGGGTCCCGGGCCAGAGCAATAATCGAACGGATTGATTCCCTGACGGATACCCCCTTTCTCCTCGAACCACCAGACGCATCGGCAAGAAGGGCCTGGCGTTTCGCTTACGATAATTCGCTACTTGAAGCTACACAGACGCAGAGTGCAACGTTCTGCAAAACCCTGTTTTCGCCTCTGCGTTTGCTAGTGCTACGCGGACGGAGGGCGGTGCCATTTCAGTCTGTGCTTATCCCGCGCACACCAAACACCAAAGTGGCGTGCCAGCTGCTTGCCCTGCGGAAGTGCTGCTTACCCGGTGGAGTGGTGCGACGTCCAAGATGGATTGCACTGGCCTCCATTGTATTCGTCGCGCATGTCCACCGCCACAAGGGTGGAGCACCTGTTGCAGAAAGCGGGGCTTCCGCCCGAGCGGCGGGCCCCTGCGGCGTGCTTGTCTTGCACGTGGTGGCGCCGCCTATAGTGAGCACCAACTATGGCAGAGGCGATGGTGGATGGCACCTACTGCGGGAGGGTGCTTTGGCGCATCGTTGGTGCATCCTGTGTGTTCGTTCGGTCCCTCTCCTCGCCTGCTCGCTCATGTCTATCCGCCTCTAAGCAGACTCGAACTGATCCCTATCCCTAAGATCGGCTAGCAACAAGCGATGACGATCTTACGGATGTGCCCTCGGAACCTTGGGAACTCCTTAAGATCGGCATCGAGGTAAGGTGATGCCAAGCATAGGGATGGGGATATGTGTCAAGCTGGTGATCCCTGGATGCGCCTCCCGATTACTCGCTTTTGCAGTGTGCATAGTGCATGGCGCATGGTGCGTTCCGAGTTGGTGGCGCCAGGTTGTTGGTGTGCGCCACGTGGCAAGTGGCAACACGACCCTTCTGGTGACCACCCCGCCCTGTCCGCAGGGACATTGTACTTACCCCTCTCTGTGGCGGAGTCTAGTGGAGAGCGCCCCCCCTTGGCGCAGCGCGTGCTGCGCAAGGTTCGGTGGGGACTTCGGGGCAGAGCGGCGTGCCGATCTCGGTGACCAGGGATGGTCAGCCTGGCGGACGAGCATGTCAACAGGGGTCCATTCAGCAGCGTGGAACACCTTCCCGAATAACAGCGGCAGTCAGGATTGGTCGACTCTTCTCCCGTTCTGGCCGCACAGCCAAGATGCTGGCATAAGGACTGCCTCGTGCCCTGGAGGGCCCTGGTTCTCGGGCCGTTCCTTGGGTCTGGGTGTAAGTCGGGCGCGTCCCTCTACAGGAGGAATAATCAAGAATAGTCCCACGATAGTCCGAGGCCGATTGTTCCACCTTTCTTGACAAGTTTCGAATATTTCCACCGGTGTGTTTCCTCCGAAATCCGCCTGTAGGAGGGCATGCCCGACCCAAGTCTAGGTCGAGGGGCCTCTTCGTGGCCGAGGCTCGCGGCAGCCAGACCGGCCCCCCAGAGATCCGATGTGATTTTTCAATACGCGGCCCCTGGAAGTCTCGACCCCTTCCCCAGGACGGGCTCTTCATCTGGAGCCGTTTTTTGGCGGTCCCGGGGCCCGGCGAGGGCGCCCAGAGGCTGAAAATTGAACGAACAAATTCCGTCTTGATTTTTGTCAATGCGTTGGATCTTTGGGTGGGGCTAATCTGGGCCAGTCTGGCTTCATGATGGCCCCTTCGTCGGGCGTAGTGGCGGGCACTGCGCATGCGCTGGATCTCTGCGCCCCTCGTTCCTGCTGCGGAGCTCCCCCGTGGCAGCACGGTGCCCGGAGCCTCTGCGGGCTTGCCTCCCGAGGGCCTCGCGAGGGCCTGGCTCCGAGGGCCCCGCAGCGGGCGTGGCGACGACCGCGCCACGGGCCTCTGCGGTCTGGACCAAGCGAGCACGTGCCGTCACGTGCCCCCCCCTCCAGAGGTGATGGGCAGATTGTCCACCACCACTGCCATATGTAGGGCATGGGAGAGGGGAGGATGAGGAGGTCCTCCTCCTCCTCCTCCTCCTCCTCCTTTCTTCTTCCTCCTCCTTTTTTCTTCCTCCTCCTTTCTTCTTCCTCCTCCTCCTCCTCCTCCTCCTCCTCTTCCTCCTCCTCCTCTTCCTCCTCCTCTTCCTCCTCCTCCTCCTCCTTCTCCTGGGCGCAGGGTGCATATCTCGGGGGGGTACGCTCACGAAAGCCACGTTTTAAAGTTTCACTTGGGGCTGGGTCTCTGGCTTTGTTCGTCTTGGGATGCCTTTGCTGTTGAGCAATTGGTTTCCCTGGGCAAGGCTTGTGACCCCAACCTTGGTTTCATCCGTACTCGAAAGGAGTACCTTGATCGTATCAGCAGGGGCGTCTGGCCGAAGGTCTACAGCAAGACCGAACAGGCCAGGCGAGCTCCTAAGCAACCATCATGATAAGTTGCTTTCAAGTAGCCGACACAGTCGCCATACCCGTAACTCCGTAATTCCTCCTTCTCCTCCTCCTCCTCCTTGTCCTCCTCCTCCTCCTCCTCCTCCTCCTCCTCCTCCTCCTCCTCCTTTCTCTCTCTCTATTTCTCTCTCTCTCTCTCTATCTCCCTCTCTCTCTCTCTCACTATACTCTATATCCCATCCCAAAGGAGGCCGAAACCCGAGGAGTACACAACATGCAATGCGCCCGCACGGCCGCCTGGGCGGCGCCTCGAACCCTCCCGCCTCCCTCTGCTTCTCCACCAACGAGACGCCGAGCCCGCCGATGGCGGGCAGGCCGCGGGCAAGGCAGCGGCTCGCCTCTCCCGCTGCGGCTTCAGCCTTGTGCACCCGCCGTGCGCGGCAGGGCCACAAGACCAGCGAGCCCTCAACCAGCTCCCAGGCCTCGACCTCCTCGCCCTCCGCCTCACAGTAGCGGTCGGGCGGGACGAGGAGGACCACCAGCTCCGCATCCTGCGGTCAGTGCAGGAAGCCCCCACACCACAGCGCGGGCTGCGCCTCCAGCAGCGCTCCGCCAAGCAGTTCCAGGAAACGCCGCGGCAGGGCCAACTGGCCACCTTCCAGCACGACCCTGGGCGAGGCGACCAGGCCCTCCTGGTGCAGGACTGCCAAGACCTGCGGGCCATTGAGGGCAAAGACTTGCCCATTGACATGCTGAGTACCACCAGAATCTGCAGTATTAAGCACGTCATTCTGGCATCGGGCAGTTGCAGGTATGGGTGCAAGCACTCGCCAAAGTTTGTAAATTCAATATCTACGGTGATGAGGCACAGCCGTGCCCCGCAGCATCGGAGGGCCGACATCCGGCGACGAGAAGACGAGCCGAGGGCGACGCGAAGCGGCCCGTTGGGTCGGCCAAACGCGGCCGTGAGCTAAGCCCACACACGCTGCCCATGCACAAAATTACACGGAGAGGCGGAGAAGGAGGGAAGTGAGGAGCAATCAAAGCAAACCTGAACATTGCATCACACCGTCTGCACAAACCCGTCGCTCTTCAGGATCGCCGTGGGCTGGTGGTACTCGTCGTAGTTGCTGGCCATCCTCCTCCTCCCCTCTTCTTGGTGTCTTCTTGCCCCCTTCTTTTCTGCTTGGTTTCACCAGATGAGGCGGTTCCTATCGAGACGCTTCTTTTTTATCTTGAGCTGGGTTTCAAACAGAGCTCGAAGTTGTTCGGGCGACAACATTGGATCATTTCATGCATACGACTTTTCCGACCGGCGTCGATGCTGTAGGGTAATCCACAGCCGCCGCCGCGGTGTGGCGTTGTGTGTTGTATCCATTTGTGCTGTCTTCCCCTTCCTCCCTCCTCCGCTGCGTTCCCGAGAAAAAAATTTGGCATCGGGCAGTGAGGCAATGGCTGCAACCACGTCAAGCTTCCAGATCTCCGCAGGTGCGCTGGCCAATGAGACCGAATGCAGCAAAAACCCAGCGGCGCCCACGGCGGCAGCAGTAGCCAGAAGAAGGGCGGATGTCTGAATACCAGCACTCTTCTTGCGCAACCTCTTGGCCCAGAAAGCACTGAGCCTACGCCCTCCCCACAGCTCCGACCTCCTCCTCCTCCTCCTCCTCCTCCTTTTTTCCTCCTCCTCCTCCTCCTCCTCCTCCTCCTCCTCCTCCTCCACAGGGGGGGGCGCGCGCGGAGCTGGTGGCCGCAGCCCGTGATATCTCGCACGCCCGCGAGGCGCTGAGAGTTCCACCGTGGACGGTCACCAAGCAGAGGCAAGAGGTTCGCACTTACCGACTCTGTCCGCCTTCAGCCACGCGCAGAAGGGGGGGGGGGGGGGGGGGGGGGGGGGGGAGCCGGGGGCTGCAACGAGGGGGTCAATGTCATGGGCGCTCCCCCCACTTGGACGCCCCCCTCTCGGCCGCCCCCGGGGGGAGGAGGAAGGCCCCCTGGAAGGAGGCTGCTCCTCAGAAGGCGCGCCTTGTGCGCGTCGACAGCGCCTACTTCGGCACACCTCTCGCACGGAGCGTGGCCCACGGGGAGAGAAGTGTGACCTCAAGCTTTCCAGATTCGCCCACGCGTGGCGGGGCGATAGAAGAGGAAGAAAAATAATAATAATAATAATAATAATAATAAGAAGAAGAAGAAGAAGCAGAAGAAGGAGGCGAAGGAGAAGAAAACCCAACAACAACAAAACCAAAACAACGGGGCGTGGGCGCACGCGGTTTGGCGCCCAGGAGGCGCGCCTGGAGGAGATGGACGCCCGGGGCTCGGCGGCCCCAGCCCCCGCGGCGGGCGG